GTGGAAGTGAATTCATTGTATTTCATGTTCTGTAACTCATTCACATTTGCACTGATTATTATGGATAAGTAAAATATTTTACAATTATAATTTCATGTATAGTATGTAAAAAATTCATTTAGTTCACCAAGTAAAATAAATAAGTAAGAACACTCCCTGTATTCATACAAGTTCAATATTTGGATGAAGGAATTAAACGACAGACCATGACGTTATCGTATATCGGAAATATGTGCAAATTTTTATGATTACGGTAGGAAAAATGACAAAGGTGATGGAACGTAAACTTGTACGAATATAGACTTACTTACTTACTTACTTACGCCTGTTACTCCTCGTGAAGGAGCATAGACCGCTCATCAGCATTCTCCATCCAACCCTGTCTTGGGCAATCCTTTACAGCTCCTTCCAGTTCTTATTCATCCTTTCCGTATCTGCCTTTATTTCCAGACGTAATGTGTTCTTTGGACTTCCTCTTTTCCGCCCTCCTTCAGGATTCCAAGTTTGGGCTTGTCTCATGGTGTAGTTTGACGATTTGCGTAATGTATGTCCTATCCATTTCCATTGTCTTTTCCTAATTTCCTCTTCAGCTGGAAGCTGATTTGTTCTCTCCCACAAAAGGCTGTTGCTGATGGTATCCGGCCAATGGATGTTGAGTATCTTGCGTAGACAGCTATTTATAAATACTTGCACCTTCTTGATGATGGTTGTTGTAGTTCTCCAAGTTTCAGCTCCGTACAGTAGAACTGTCTTGACATTCCTATTGAAGATTCTGTCTTTGATACTGGTTGAAAGTTGTTTTGAGTTCCATATGTTCATCAACTGTAGGAATGCTGTCCTTGCTTTGCCAATCCTCGCCTTTACGTCTGCATCTGAACTTCCTTGTTCATCGATGATGCCTCCCAGGTGTGTGAAGGATTCTACATCTTCCAGAGTTTCGCCATCAAGAGTGATTGGATTGGTACGAATATAGAAATTGTTCATAATTACTTTTTTTGACTAGCAAACATTTTACATAAAATTATAATTGTACAACCTGTTATTTATTCATACAAATCAGTTCGTATGTGAATGACTTAAAGCATACGAATTACAATGTTCATTATAAAATAATACAAATTAGTTGATTTCCTTTAAAACGAAGTAGATGTTGCACTTTTTAAATTTACTAAAACCAATTGCACGTAACATTTCATGTAACTAATTTTATTAGCTCACTCATTAGTGTTTTATTAATAATGAGTATGTTTGTTTGGTTCAAATGATTAAAGTGAACTAATGGGAAGTTAAGTTTGATTTAGATTTTGAGGTTGTTTTATCTAATAGAAACTCATACACAATTACAGTTTGTTATTTTCTTGAAATATCGTTTGTACTAATTTCTCTTTCGGTTGAGTCACATAAGTTCGAGGACCTTATCTAGGCAATTGTGATGCTTATTTACATCAGAGAATAGTTCAAAAACGAAATGATACTTAAAGATTTCAAATGATTTATTAACTCAATCACACGACATTCAATTGATAGACATCTCATTATGGAATCAATTGTCAATCTATCACTGTTATATCAAAGCAAATCTCTAACCATTTATTTTATTATTTCTATCTTCACTTTAAAAATTGTCCATATATTCATTGTGTCATTTTCAGTCATCTATTCCCTTAAGCTTGTGTAGATTCTGTGGAATGTTGTTTTACGATAATTGCGTAACTTACCTTGCAAACTTTTCGATTCCAAATAATTTAAATATTTTGGAGCAGTTAGTCATTAAAGGATGGAAATTAATAAGGATACCTTGCTCAAGAACTAAAATAATATAGATAATAATTGGAACGTTGTTATTGCAACTGATTTTTTAACTTTGCCACCCTACGTTTAATATTAATTAAAACAGCTGTGGTGGCTATAACTAGAAAGAACTGTCATTATTCAAAGCACTCTACGAATGTTCTTACATATAAACTCACTAGTACTCTTGGTCATAGCAAATGGTCACGGTTGATTACCATAATAACAAACCGACTAATATATTTTTTTTAAATTTAATTAGATTTGTAGACATTTGGTAAGAATTCATCATAGTAGTACTATCATAGCATTCTACTACTTCAATAGTTATTCTTATTCTAATTTAATTCTTAAGGATAATGAACTGTTTGATACTACTTATTAAACGATGTCTTACTGTTGAATGGTTCACTTTGTTTATAATAGTCGTCTGTTTCATGGTTATTATGAAATCCGTAAAACGTGTGCATACTAATAAAACAGAGTTGGGTAATTAAGCAATAGTCTATTCAATGTTTAAAAGTATTGATGTGAATATTATTATCTAATTTCTAAATGGTATTGGACACATTCCGCCGGTCATCTACCATCTCAACACTGTTATTCATGTTATTTACTGATAACTGAAAGAGATTTTGGATGATATCCGACAATGTGGTTATACTGTGCAAGATTAAAAATTAAACTCAAAAACTATCGATATAACGGAGTTTAGATGATTGAAACTTCTAGTATACTGACACAAGTTATGAGTTATTACTGTGACAATTAAATTTAACTCACAAGACTTAATCTTAAATCCTTATTAAATCTAAATTTCATATTTCAGTACTAAACGGATTTGAAGAGGTTGTGAGATTTCCATAGATTAAATCACAAACGTGATTATAGTTAGACCACTACTGAAAACTAGGTAGTGCTGAAGCCCTGTTTCTTCTTAGGATGGGAATTCTCGGCAGTGCGCACCCACAATTCCATCTGGGATAGAACCTAGCACTATCGATGTCACGCCCGAACGCCTAATCTCGAGACCACTGAGTCAGCTTCCAATGATGAGGAAACCCAATTTCATAGTTTAACGAGAAATATAACGTAAATGAGTGAAAAATTCATGCGGATTCCGGATTGATGCATTTTTTAGAACACGAGCACGTAAGACGTACTTGTCAAATGATACAGTCATATAATAATAATAGTGACAATAATAGTCTAAGGCCATTGTAGAAATAAGTATAAAATACTTCATTTGTAATAGTTATTTTATGCATTATTTCATGAATAAGAGCTTTTGGTGTTTCAAGGAATTAAATACGAAGAAATCTTGGTAGATTTGGACTAATTCTGAAAACAATCTTAAAACCAACATCAGTAGAGTGATTACATTCGACTAAATATTCAAGGGTAGAATTCACCGTTTTCCATTCACCTTTGTAGAACCAAACTGCATAATGTTCTCGCATCCACGCTGGAAACAACCACCTGACTAATGCCTGTGTACTATGTTCTACAAGAGCAGATAAACTAGCAAATACATAGAGGAGAACAGATGACGTAGTTTATCCTCAAAGTATTATTTTAATACTACCATTTTAGTTTAATTTCTTTTTTTGGAAATATCCCTCTAATTATCTCTTATATCCCATCGATCTTACTCTTAATCGTTCCTGAAACCACCTCACTTCATTGAATTTCTCCAATACCTTTAATTATTGTAACAAAATTTTTTTAATTATCTTAATCCATTCATACTAGAATCAACTGTTGGCTTTTTATGTTTATTTGCACAGACCCTGTATAAGTCACAAATCCATTTATTATTTACACTACATAACCCTAGCATTGTGATCTTTCGATTACAGTATCATTTTTATTCATTATTTATGCCCTCACGGAATTAATACTTTAGAAAATTCCATATATATATATCCTGATTGGTTCAGGTTGAATATTTTAGGTTTACTGAACAGTAGACTTACAATAGCGGGATTGCCTCTGTACGCTATAGTTGTCCCTGATGAAAATCTTAACAGTATTATAAACAGTAAAACTTAGCTTACTGTCAATATCAACTAGAAACATCTTAATACTTCAGTACTTTAAGTTTTCAGCTATAAAGTAAACAAGAGACTATTATAAGTGCAGAAATTTTATACACTAACACGTAAAAGAACATTTATGTATGCATATATCTTCATTACAGTAAATAATATAGATACAAGCAAGTGTAGTACCTAAAAATCGTTGAAATATACATGAATCAACATAATATTCTCTTTTTTTTCTAAATTTCAGCCTTGATAATGTATGAAGTATGTATTGTTTTTAAATTGTTACATAAATTTATGCATATTTATAGGTGTATAGTACAGATAGTGTTTTCGCACTCAGTAACGAAATGAGATAAATATGGATGGGATAACTTTTAAGTTGATTATTATTATCGATACTGCTACCACTACTACTATCACTACAAAGAAAAGTACTATGACTGGATCTGACCACAAAAATCACATACAGGAAATAAAACATTAGGGGGTACATGGAGAAAAACAAAGGCAGCAAAACATTAGATTGTACGCATAAACCAATACTCTGATGAATAGATTGCCACTACTAACAACACTAGTATAGTCATCAATCAAGGAAATAACTTCAGCAGAATGATGCTATGAGAGCATGAATAACAAGGGTGCATGTACAATGATTTTCTCTGTGTTTTGTTTTCACCATGAAAAACCACAATAATAATAATAATAACAACACCAACGACACAGATTTCTTTAAATACTTGAAATGTAAACAAAAGCAAGAATAAACTAAACATGGCGGTATTAACCGAAAAGACATCGCAAAAAAGAGAATGGGTATACCGATGTGTGAAAAGTAATGCAGAATACTGGACTGCCCAGTATTATGATGAAAATGAGGCGAAGTGAATTTGTACATCAAATTATAAACTGATTTTATTATCACATAAGTAAAGAAAGAGAAAAGAAATGGAGAGTAACAGAAGCAGGGAGATTGAAATATTCAAAATTGGATGAACAGTGGAAAATGCCGCGAGAATGAATCATTAACGATAAATAATAATAATGAGGCTAGTAAGTTCTTAGAAATAGTGAATGTGATAAGCTGATGTAGTAGAATTAAAGAACCACGGGAAAAAAATTCAATATATTTTTTCTAACAAAAAACACTCTTCAGTAATACTAAACTACACTAGGTCCATTATATTCCGCAGACTCACACCAATAATCTGATGGTTGGTTTGTTTCAACTAAATAAACAATTGAATCTTTTTCTGACTGATTTGTGCATTGATCAGGATCTGAAGAATCAGCTGAAGATGAGAGTTCTTCATTATTATTGTTATTATGCAAGTTGTTCTGTGATAATAGTGAATTAGAGTTCATTTGTGGTATGATGACTTCTTTATAAAATCGACATTCTCTGGTTCCTAAATCATGATCATATGGAGGAGCTAGTATATCGAGAAAAACCGCCGGGCCATCAACTGGAGTAATTTCATGTAAATTACCTTCGATTGGAAAAAGCAAACAAGGTTGATGGTCCGGAGATAGGACTGTATCTTGATGTGGTCGAGCAATGATTAAGTCGGTCAATTGCCATTTTGAATCATCAAAAACCGATAACGATGGTTTATAATTTCCTAAATCTGTTGTTGATTTGACATTTTTCAATCGTGTGAAACTACGACATCGTACAGAACCGGTTAAAACTTTTAAAATCCCATACATTCCCGGATGATCATGTAAGGGTATACGAGAGCCAGGTTTCAAAATAAAAATACCCATGGAAAATACTTCATTTTCCATAATATGCACATAAGCGACTGGAGCAGATGATATATTTGAATCAGAGATCCATCGAACATCAAACCCAACATCTTTTGGAGTAAGAGAGCGAACACATGCTAGCAAACGACATAAAGATTCCGACAAATGTTTATGTTTTACCGGAAGAGTTGGGGAAACGGGTTTGTCAGAATGTGTTGGAGAATTGCCATTTGTACAAGGATGAGAATCCCCCATCCCATTGTTAATATTAGCTGATGCTGGGCCCAATGTAGCACGTACTGAGTGCTGTTGAAATGCATGAAAAGCCAAGTTGGCTACTGTTGCAATTTTTGTGGTCATATGTTGGAAACAAGTATCACAACATCCAAACTTCAAAGGGGAAATTTACCTGATAAAACAAAAAAATTACACAGAAAGTTGGAAGTTACAGAACACGTGGTACTGATCTCGATCAGACATAGAACAACACGAACCTTTTATTGATTGGTGTTTATCAGTCAAAATAACGCAACAACCAGACGAAAGAATACATGCTATAGGAGAAACAGTATTTCACGTCCATCGTACGGTAGGCTGCTAAAATTTTCAAAAACGATTTAAGGTATTTAGGGGCTGTGAAAAGTTTATAAATACATATTTTGACCGGAAACAGTAAAGGACCCCTGTTTGTCATACTTTAGAGTTTATGCAAAACGTATGAATCCAGGTTTTTTTATTGATAGCTGCACACTGCGAAAGTTTTGAATAGTTTCACTAACTGTCTGCTAACAATCATTTTATCCCCTGACATCATGGATACCTTAAATTAGTTAAAAAGGACTGTGACCTGGAATCGCTTATTAGAGAGGACTATCTAGGATTTGTTAACATTATGCGAACTGTATACGGAAAACAACCCACTCAAAGAACGTAGATACAAACTAAATTTTTCATTGTTCCAAACCAGAAGTGTGGTTGCGTAATCTTATAATTTCATTCTAGTTTTGTCACTAACGTCTTTCAGTAAAGAGTTTTGAAGAAAGTAAGACAAAATAGTAATATGCTATTACTCAGAGAAAATAATTCTCGATGGCAAGAGTCTGAACGATAATGGTATGACGCGTTACTCAAATCCCGTTCCACTAGTTTGAGATCAAAGACTTTGATTACAGGACTTGTCTTAGATCGCCGAAGAGCGACGTACATGGACAAGACAGAATCCCATATCGAGATTCACACTTTGAGATAATCTGATGAAGGTGGTCAAGATGTTCATGTATCCAACGTAGCTTTATGCCAGTAATTAGTAAGACAGGTGCAACCAAAATTAGATAGTAAGATTATTAAACAAGTTACGCAAGATTAGGATAAAAACTAAAATGTTAACAAAACTGAAGTTTGAAAAATTTTAAAAGAGAAAGAATAAGTTTTGAGAAACGTAATAATATCTAAGTGGAAACCCAGGGTACATTCAGAGGTTGTATATACCTTTTCTGTATACAAAGGTTGTGTATTTTGATATGTATTCCCTTGGCTTATGATCTTTATGAGGGCCGAATTCTGGAACCCTAGGGTAATTTCAGTAGAATTTTATTGATAACTCTAAACGCTAAATTTTTTATCGATATGATGACCGGTATCTACTAAATGGGCCAAGATAGAACTTCTTACTACTTTCTTTTGTCAACCATGAGGTATGATGTTCGGAAATACAATGATGCCTTTGTCTGGTTGCAAGTTCAATATAACTAGCTCCACAAGAGCAGTTGAAATAGTAAATACAAATAAACGCATAGGAACTAGGCATTATCGTATTTCTGAACATCATACATCATGGTTGACACAAGAAAGTAGTAAGAAGCTCTATCTTCGCTCATTTAGTGGATACTGGTCATTACGTCGATAAAAAATTTAGCGTTTAGAGTTATCCATAAAATTCCACTGAACCATTTTCATCAGACTATCTCAAAGAGCGAATCCCAATATATGGTATTGTATGTCTTGTTATTATCACCGATACAACGACTACTTCGATTACCTTAATATTCGTACTTCTTACTTCAACTTGACTTCCCAGTTTAGTGTGACAACATTTGTGATAGGTCACAAGTTGATAATGATTAACTGACTGACAATGCTGAAATACAAGTTCCGGTAGCATGAATATGTCTTAAACGTGTCATTCTAGAAAAATTGCAGTTATTCTATAAACTTACGAATACAGAGGTGGTCATTGTAGTGAAGAGATAACATACCTTAATAAGGATACTAAACCATAATTTGATAAGTATTTTTAAAATGACACAACAATTAGTCGCTATGGACACTAATCAATGTAACTAAGTCCTAACGGTAATTAATTTTGGGTTAGTAATCAAGTAAACAATGATAGAGGATATTATTTAAACTGGCGGGAACCAACAACAACCAAACACTGAATCTGAAAATGATCGTAGGAGATTATCGTACTCTTTTAGAACAGAAGTTGAGACTGACCGCATTTATCCGTACAGAACAGGAAAGCATCTAAGAAAATGAAAAAGTTGAGGGTATATCTAAGAAGATATCTAATACAGAACAGTATGTATAGTTGGGCATACGTAACACGTGTCCCAGCCATCTCAACTGATGAAGTTTCACTACTTCATCAATCGATTTTCCACCCTTACCTATTACCCGTTTCCTAACAACTGCATTACTTACTCGATGGTCCCAGGATATACGAGCAATGTTTCGAAGACACCTATGATCGAATACTAGTAACCTACAAATATCCTCTACTCTTACCGGCCATGTTTCACTGCCATAAAGTAGGACGGAACGAACTGCTGCCCTGTAAACACGTCCTTCGGTTGATAGACGGATATCTCGCCTACGCCATAAATGACGCAAGTTGGCAAAAGCTAATCGAGCCTTCTGTATCCGTGCTGAGATTTCGTCACACACCAGACCACAAGGGCTGATGAGACTTACAAGATAAGTGAAGCGGTCGACACGCTCAATTACTTCACTCCCGATCATTAGTTCGGGTGTCGATGCAACCCAATCCTGAAGCAACATTTTGCATTTCAAGGGGAGGAATCGCATGCCGAACATGATTGCATTGTTGCTTAGAGTGGTCAGAAGACTCTGCATTTTGTCAGCGTCTTCACCAAATAGAACTATGTCATCGGCATATTCCAAGTCAACAAGTGAATCTCCTGGTAGAAGTTCAACTACTGGAAATTTAAATGAGGAAAGTGTTATCTCTAAAAATACGTCAATGACAAAGTTAAGAATAGAGAGAGTGGGTAGCCCTGACGAACACCACTTGAGGTAATCAATTCTGATGACAGTTCGCCATAAGCTCTCACTCGACGAGTTGTGTTCGAGTAGAGAGCCTTTGTAAGGTTAATGTACTTCTCTGGTACTCCTTTCAATGACAAACACTGCCATAGAACCCCACGATCAACAGTCAGTCGAGAATTTTAAAAATAAAGCTCACACAGCTATTAACACTTTTTGACCCATCACCAATACACAATAGAATGCGATATTAAAATGATTACGGATAAATCTATGCTTAAACTACTGCAAAATACTGAGTTTAAATCTAATTGATATCACAAATGTGTATACTTTTTATTTCTGAGGAAATGGATGGTACAAATCTTGGATTATATTCGACTAACAATTTTAATAACCGAAGTACCTTCAGAGTAATATGGGCTTAAATTCGTTTTCATTCTTTTCGGAGAAACATTATAAATGAGCAATATCAGTGCAAGTAGCGTTTTAGAATCCGACTTAACTGTTCAAAAAACAATCATAACACCTAGAAATCGTAAATAATTTGCCTTAATGAACAGAATACTTGCTTGGTTGGGGATAGTAGGTGATAAAATTTATTTATTTCAACACAAGCATTGGTACGAGGCGGCACCAAATATATATGCGCCACACCTCGTCATTCGATTTGTGAGAGCTGGAATAGTGCACAGGAGCCAAAACCGAGATAGGTGGTCTTTTTAAGGGGTCACATCCGGAGCCTTCGACCTAAAGGTTTAATCCATAAGGCAGTTGAGCAACGTAGGAAATCCAGTCCCATGGTAGCCGGTGACGTATTGCTACCCTACTCACACTACGCAATACTATGACGTGATACCGGAAGATCATGTTTATAACTTTTGAGCTGATTCGAACACTAGATTACTGGTCTAGGGCTTAAGGGTGACTTTATCCCTATCGATAGACATTAATTATATGTATCAGATACGGAGGTAACAACACCTACGAAAATCTCTATAAAAGTATACTTCCTTGATGACTTTCAGTGACTTTTACAATAATCCTGCGAAAGTAGAGTTAATTTCTAAACAAACAGAGTCCAAATGGTAAAAATGAATGCAGTAAAACCCGAGAACACTTAGATTGGGAGTTAGGTCCAGAGTATGGAAATGACATGTACCCATATGAATGGATATTTATGCAGTTCTCTTACTTAGAATCTCAAGTACCTTTTATCCACCTTAAAAAATCTATAAATCATATTACATATAGTTAAATTTTATTTGTTGCTTACTCAACTCTTGGTGATAAACCAACCACTTTCCCAAGGCTAACTTAAGAGATGCTTGAATTCGTCTCCATATTTATCAAATTAAGCGATTCAGTAACTAAGTATTACATGTTACACGTAACTCTCAGTAAAGCACAAGCTGTCGGTCACCAAGTTTTAAACTTTGCCTAAAACTCTGAAGGTCGCTATCTTACATCCGCTCACCAGCATATTATCCACCTGCCGCCACTTATCAGGTTATAATTTATAAAGGTCAGAAGTCACGGGAACCAATTTAGAGAATGTGAATCACTCTTGTGGTGTTTCTGCGTAGTTTTTGCCATTTTACTTACTGAGCGCAAAACATAGCTATTAGGATTCAGGAGGATTCACTACTTGTTTCCTTTTAGAGCCTGGGTTCCAAAAATAATATTATGCATTTCCCGCTTCTTCCGCACTTAATATTTTCTACTACTATGTGTACTGTTATTACTCTTATTACACTAGGACATGTTAGAATGATTTCATCTCGCTGCGTTATTTTAGAGATGGCAACTTGAGTGTCAGGTCCTACAGACCGAGTTATCAGTGTTTACGCAGTACTATGACAACTCAAATTAAGTCTCGTTTGAAAGGGAATTTCTGACCTTTGACACGGATCAAGAGGTTCACTGTATACATGGTCAAAGCGATTATTGACCTTTTGCTTATTGGTAGAAAATGTGAATCACAACTTTATTTAACTAGTAACCAACTCTTGGAAGATACTGCAGGCAGATGTGTCCGTCTACAATTGAACATCATGGTAGATCCGACTGATAAA